TAACTTTGGAAATTGTTTGGATTTCAATTCTTATGTGTCTCAGAACGTAGAAAACACCAGGATCTTTTTAAAATAATAAAAAAAATTGAGAACTTTTTCCTGTTATATATGGTTTTGGGTTCATTAAAATATTAAAAACAATGAAAGATCTTTCTTGAGTTGTAATCATTCTGTTTTGAACTTGTCAATGGTCAATTATTATTAGAGGAATGAGACAAATCAGAGGTAAAATGCCTTTCTGGATTTAGCCAAATTTGTTTGTTTTCATTTGATTTTATTCTTTCTACTCCTTAAAATTCACCGAATTTTCACGCTTAGTGAAAATTCTTTATTCTTTCTACTCCTTAAAATTCTCCGAATTTTCACGCTTAGTGAAAAACCAAATGCAGAATACAGAGTATGAATTAGAGGGTTTATTTTTGTATTTTTATTTTTGGTAGTGGGGATTGAACCCAGTGGTACTTAAATACTGAGCCACATCCTCAGGCCTTTTTATTTTGTATTTTGAAATAGGGTCTTGCTAAGGCTGACTTTCAACTTGGCAATCCTCCTCCTTCAGCCTCCTGTGCTGCTGGCATTATAGACATCAGCCATCATGCCTGATTGGAGAGTTTATTTTTAAAGAACCATTATTGGGGCATCCTAGGATAGAGAGATCAGTTTATCTTTATTTCTCTCTATTTTGGCATCTACTTTTATTGAAGTTTGCATCAATAGGATAAATATAAAATTATGAAAGAATGCAAACACCAAACAATAGAATGAAGCAGTAAATAATATGCTATTATCCTAAATGATGTTATAATACCCATAAAATAATATTCCAATGTGAACTCATTTTCATATGGAGAACTTCTAAGAATAAGCTAGTGATTAACATTCCCTAGAATTTAAAGATAATAGATACCTTTGTTAATACTGTGATAGACCACTAGAAGGATAAATTTAACCTGTGGCTCAAAGATAACTGCAATGTCTTTTAAATAACCAGTTAGCCAATGACTGGTATGCGCCAGATATTGGAACTACAGAGATGAATGAAATATATTGCTTTTAAGACTCTTATGCTCAGGAATGAATTTAAAGCTACCTAATTATTGATATGAAATTTTTCATTTAGCAGTGTCAACAGAATGCATGGGATCATATAGGAGAAATTGATACTGCCTTGAGAGGAAGTATTAAATGGTTTAGAAGAATCCATGTCATTCAGAGGTCCTATTCATGTAACTTATAGTCCCTTGAATATTGCAATTCGTTTCTTTGGGTGCATATGTGGAGCATATGCAGTTTTCAAGCTCTGACTTCTTGTTTTGCCATATCATTTATAGAACATTCAATTAGGAGATTAAATAAAATTTAAGAACTTTACATCTGTTGATATCCTTTACTGTTTCTGTGTCTTTCTACATTATGTAGTCTGTTTAGTTTTTATTCTGAATTAATGCATATGTATATAGAATTTAAAAATCATTAGTTTCTTTATTTGTACTGGAGGCTAAATATTTCTCTGTAAGCATCATTTACTCATCTTAACTTGATAAATGTGAAATTTGATTGTGCAAAGAGAGACAGATGATTTCTGCTATTGGGTAGGGAAGATGAATAACATTCTAAACTGTATCTTCCAGGATCAGATAATAAGTATTTGCAGATTCTGATAGAATTTTTATTTAAGTATTTTCTGGTACTTGTTTTCAATCTGGATTTATCTCCTGAAGCTGTTAGGATTTTACATTGTAGTATAGCCATCATTTAAACTTGTAAAATCATCAATGTACATCCAGGATGAACATGTTGAGCCAAGAGTGAACTTTCTTCAGACAACTTGCTTTTGCTGTTCCTGAGAATACCAAAAATATAGAAAGAATCTGCTCTTGGTTGTCTTGGAGCAACCTGAACTGGCTTGTGGATGGGCTCAGGCATTGAACGTGTTTATGTTCCTTGAATTTTGTGTCTTAACTTATTTGTCCAGAAAAGGTCAGAAACCAAAGGTTAAAAAGTCATAGTACAGAGTTGAGTACAAGATAGTAAATTTTGTCTAGCTCCAGAAGGAGGTGAATTTTGTCACGTAATTGAAGCCATTTCTGTAGCATAATACAAGTTAATAGAGGTCATATTTCTATAAGCATGGTGATTGAATAACTTATTCACATTTCTTGAGTTTCTATTAATATTTCTATTAATAATCCCCAGTTGACAAACTATTTTTTTAATGAATGATTCCTAATGTACATATTAGTTTCAGTTTTAAAAGCAGGATTTATCCTATTCTTCTTTAAAACCTGTTGGCTTCCTTGCATTTTGTATATCTGTTATGGTTCCAAATCCTGTCAGTTAAACAATAAATGTGGGAGGCTTCTTGTAACTTCTGTTCTTCTACCTCAACCAGTGTTCAAATTGTATCAGTTTTTCCTGTTTAGATTTCAAATGTTATTCCAGCCCTTCTTACATTGCTCACCACCGTTTTGTTTCTACATTAGCTTTTTAATCTGAATCTACTGTTTCTATTATTGTTCCTGCTTTCCACAATATCCTTTGTGATTTTCACTATTTGCACTTGAATGTGAATTTTGTGTTTTGGTACACAAAAAGGCATGTCTGATCTGTCCCCTGTCTTCCTGGTCAGCATCATCTCTCTTGACTCCTTTACCAGCTCTCCCTGCTCAAAGGATTTCTGAACTTTGAATTACTTGTAATTCAGTGAAATAGCCCCTGTCTTTGAACATATTAATTCCTCTTCTTGAAATATCTTTGTCCATTCCTTCATTGGGCACTTTCCTATTAATCTTTGAGTTAGTAGTTTTATTAAGTAGTCTTTGTTCTTATTTAGTACCTCCAATTCCCATTGTATGCCGGATGTACCTCTTGTAGTGTATAGTATGTTTTACTAAGATAGCTGTGCATCTGCAGTTGTACAGTTTGTACTGCTTCCCTTTGTAGCTCCTGAACCTTTTTTAGTATCTCTGGGAATTAATATGGCACAGATTCTGAATTGACGTCTACTGCTGGTATGCTGAATTGGTGCGAAATCATATGATACCTCAAGTCTATATATATATATATATATATATACACACACACACACACACACACACACACACACACACACATACATTGAGATATATGTGAGGTCACAGTTCTATGTATCTGGAATTTGCAATTTTTTATTACTATTGAAGCTGTACATTAAAGCTATATAATTTATTTTGTGTTAATAAAAATACCTTGATCTTTACCTTCATTATAGGATTTTTGACCTGTAAGGAAAGTCAGTATGTTTTGGAATATATGTATGTATATTCATAAATTCATGTTTGCATGATAAAAATCAAAGAGTGGTTGTAGGCCATGTTAGTGGTAAATAGGCATTACATCTGGGGAAACATTTTATAGATTTAAATAGATTCTTTCAGCTTAGTTTCCCACTTTTCTTTCTTTGAGAAATCATCTTTTTGAATATTTCCTGGAAATAATTTAGATTATTTTTTTCCCCTTCTCAATTTCATGCTACTTATTTTTTCTGCATATATCTGTTTTCAGTTTAGGTGATATTTATGCTAAGTTTAGTGTTGCTGGTATTTGCTTCTTTCTGTGTGCTTCTTTCTTTACATTCGTTTAGATTCTGGGTTATTGACACTGATTTAGTATCTCTTAATGTAGAGAAATTGTGTGCACATACCACACACACACACACATGCATGCATACTCTCTGAGCTCTTTAAAAATTACAGAGTATTTTCTGATAAAAAAAGTTTGTGGTTGCTTAGTAATGACTGGTAAGGGTGTGGAAGGAAAACATTTTAAATTTATTGACACAAACTGGTGATAGCTGAGTGAGTATGTAGCAGAAAGGTAGACTGTTTTAAGTTTTTTAATGTATGTTTTGCTTATCCCTCTGTCTGCTGGCACATTTCCCACCTCTATTTTAAACAATCTTAAGGTTTGACAGTACAGGCATGCTGGTCAAATTTTAGTGCTTGGATATCAAATATAACAATTACTATATATTTCACCAGCAGGAACTGAGACCCCTGTTGGTGTCTTAATCCAAAAACAACATTTTAAATTCATATAAACCTTGCCTTAAGGAATGGAGAAAAGACAATTTAGGGAACAGCGTGGGGTTAAACATATTGATCAGTAGTTCAGTAGTTCTTGTTAGACTTTGAGTAGAATGTAGACATAGAAAAATAACATTATCAGCAACAACAAAGAATGATTTTCCTCTCTAGAGAGAATCTCTTTTGCTTCAATTATATGGATTTTTGATGATAAAAAACATAGTTCAGGCAGGAGAAGTTGAAAGCTGGGTGTGAAACCTAAACTGAAAGATTTTGTAATTTTTTTATTATTATTTAAGCTGTACATTAAAAGGGGTTTAATGAGCTATATAATTTTTGTGTTAATAAAAATAACACAGTAATTTTGAATTTTTGCCAATGTGCAAAAACCATTGCTTGATAAAGTTTGAGAAATTAATTAATTATGTAGTTTTTGGTTATAATAACCCTGGTAACCAGATTCAGTAGCCTGTTGATTTTGTGGTCTTTGGGAATTTATGTTTCTTTTGATGAATGGAAAATTATTATTTTTTTGTTCCAGTTTAGATACTATCCATCCACTAATACATATTTGTAGTTTTCAGCCAGAATGTGTTCATGTTCTATTGGTTGTATGTGGAATGATGCTGGATAAGACCTTACCTTTTGGTTATTGGTGAATTTTTTTGTGAAGAGATACTAATGAGTAATATATCTTCATCTCCCTTTTTCCTCAACAATCCCAAATAAGTGAAAAAGAAAAACTACTTAAACTCTATTTCTTTTAAATATATATGGTTGATTAAAATATTTTACACATAAATTATTACATTAATAGGATTTTCTGCTAGAGAAAATATTTGGTAATTCTTGGAACAGAACCTCAATTTTTCAATTTTGTTGTTTTATCTCTAATGTTAGAAACCAAGTCTAAATCTCACTGTGTGTCTGCTGTAGGTAGCTTGTATGCAGCTCATAAACGCCCTTGTTACATCTCCTGATGATCTGGACTTCAGGCTTCATATCAGAAATGAATTTATGCGTTGTGGATTGAAAGAGATATTACCAGTAAGTGCCCTGCAGTCTCCTTATTAATATTTAAATTAGAAGAGTACTTGAGTGGGGGAAATTTAGATAAATTACCCTGAAGAATAATTTATCTATGGGAAAAGACTTTGAGTATAAAAATCTATTTTTGAAATATAGATGATAAAATTTGAGTATTATTTAACACTTTATATCTTTGAATGCTATAAATCATGTTGAATGGTTGGTTTATTGTTTATATGTTATACATTAATTTTTTGCATAATTAAAAACAAAATCATTCATCATAATTGCAATTTAATATCTCTAGAGTTTAAAACGTATTAAGAATGATGGCCTGGATATCCAACTTAAAGTCTTTGATGAGCATAAGGAAGAAGATTTGATTGAGTTCTCTCATCGTCTGGAAGATATTAGAGCTGAACTTGAATATCCTTTTTTTCTGAGGTCTAGTCAAAAGATATATAAAAGCACTGCTAATTCCAAAACAACTGAGTGCTCCCTATAAAATATTTAACTCATTTCTATGTAACACAATGTGAAATCAAACCTTTTTGCACCAGAAAAATGTTATTTTGTTAGCTCTTTCCATTTTTCTGAGTATACACATATATAAATTGATATTACAATTAACAAATGGACCAGCTTTTTATGTTAAGTGTCTCCCTTGCCACCCATGCTCCTTCTCTGCAGAGTGGGTTCATACTCATTAGGCCCCTTGTTCATTTTGTGGGACTGCATTCTTCCAGAGATCCACCCGTATTCTCTACTAGTGCTTATCCATGATAAATAACACCTGCCCTGGCACTGTCAGTGAGAGCACCCCTAGAACTCTTTATGGTGTTCACAGCCAGCAGCCTACTACCTTCACCTCCAGCAGCATTTTCACGTAGGAAAAGCAGATTAGTTGGGGTTATGAGGGGGAAGCAAGAAAGTGTCAGAGCAAGTTACATTTCCAGAGTTATTCCCTGCCTTCAGTCTTCAGTACCTGTATTAGGGTAATATAGATAATGGTTTCTCAAAGCTTTACAGAGCAGATTCTGTATCATATTATTACAGTTGTTTGATGTTAGAGTATAAATAAGTCCTTATGTTCCTTAATCAACTTACTGAAGCATCTGATGTTTACAACATGGTATGGAACACAGTTAAGGAAACCAGAGCAGAGGGATATTTTATTTCTATTCTTCAGCATCTTTTGCTGATTCGAAATGATTATTTTATAAGGTCAGAGGAAATTATATTCTAATGTTTTCTTTCACCAATAAAAATCTATTAATTGTGAAGTTCACTTGATGTTTCATTTGGACTAAAAATAATTTTTATTTCTGTCATAATATTGATTTATGTTTTTTTCCTCTGGGCATACATTTAGATACATTATGGTGACACACTATTATATAACTGTGACTTTAAACTGCAGTGGATTCTTGGTTATAGTCTTTCATCTGAATAAAAATTCAAAGTAGCAACAAATTATTTGTTTAACATGTGATGGGTAATATTTTCTGGTTATTTCTTATGCAGTACCTATGATGTTGATATGTTTCTTTTCATAAGTTACATGAAGGATACTAAACACAGCATTTATTAGTGTTTAAGTAGCTGGAAATTACCTTAATGATATAGGTGTGTTTAATGTTTCTAATGCATTAGAGAAACTATACATATGGCTTTTCAGGTTTGATTATATACCAGCCAGCTGAGCATAACAAATTGTTTACCCTTTCTCTACCTCATCTACATCATAATGTAGCTCTATATGTTTATGAACACCTAACTCACTGGGTTGTAGGAAGATTAAGTATGGTAACAGAGCCAAATCCCTGATACATGGTGCATGCTCAATAAGTGTTCTCTATAATCTCTTTCCAGTTTTATTGCTATTTTATGAGAGAAACTAAGATGTTTGAATATAAAATCCTCTATGTTGCCACCAATTTATCTTTGCCGTGATTTCATTCTCAAATATTGTGGGAGTGTTTCTTTCCTTCTTATTTTCAAGTAGAAGGATTTGTTAGAAAAGCCTCTTTCAGACTGTGCCCCTGGGTGAAGGCAAAGTGCAGCTCAGTGATGTACTAATGTACCTAACAGGAGGCAACAAGAGTCAAAATATTGGAACTTCAGATCCTTTAGGAAGAGTAGAGGTCATGCACCAAACTTCTTTGTAGCTAAGAACCCCATAAATGTTTTAAAAATATGAGTTTAATAAACTGCTTTCTGATATTTAAGATAAAATAAAAGCTTACATATTTAACCATTTTATAAATGATATATGAAAAATACTAATTAGATAAGATTTTATAATACCCCTTATATCCTGCTAATTACAATACTATATTTCTACTCCAAATTTACTTCAAAATGAAATTAAAAACTTGTCTTTATTCTGAAGTAACCCCATCAATTTCTTGATCTGTTTGTGTGTGATCCCGCTGACCTCAGGTTGGTTTTTGCTATTGCAAGTTCCCAGGAAGTCAGGACCCTGTTAGCATTCAGTGGTTTGAATGTGTCTGTGGTGCCACAGGGGTTGTGTCCAAGGGGCATGGTATTATGTCCAACTTCAAAACAGATCAAAATAAACAACTGTCCTGGGGCATGTTCAGCTCGTCTTATTTTAGCGGGAGACATACTTGTTATAAGTTTAATACAACTATCTGTTTTTGTTTCATGATCTCAAACTGCAATTAGTTATTGTTATTATTTGTCCACTCTTATAAATTTATATTTTTGTTGCTTTTATTATATTATAGTATCACAGTTGTGGTCACTTACATATTTTTGTCAAACATTCATCTTTAAAAAATTAACTTATTTAGCTTTTAATTTCCATGCAGTAAAACAACTTTTATTGGTATAAAAGGAAACATTCTATGAATGTTGTTCTTTTTGTTTTCTGTTTATATTTTTATTTCCTCCATTGTACCATGGACCTGGAATTTGCCTTTTCAGAAATCTTAGATGACCTTAACATTTATTATTGAATAACATTTTAAACTACTGTTGATATAAACAAATATAACTTTTCACTTTTTGTAAATAACAAATTATCTTGTCAGAATATAAAATGTTCTCATTTAAAATAATTGAGGAGAAAAATTAAGAGTTCTTTTTTTTTTTTTTAGTTTAAACTTTTGGATTAAAAGGAAATTTTACTGAGATGTTACTCCATTGGGGAAAATGTACACAAGGCCGCCATAATTCCTCAAGAAAAAGGGGGAAAAAATGTACAGGAGGAGGAGAAGACCAAATTCTGTTTTGACCAAATAATTAGTGTCTTATCAGGTGCAAAATATGATGCTAGTTGAAGCTCAAGGGAGATAATTTTTGATATTTGTTAAAAATACTTCAGATAAAATGCATATGATCTCAGAACACATTCTCCAACAAGAATAGTATTGTGTTGGTGAAGTGTAATGGCAATTTGTATTTATCACTTAATTAATTTATTCACATATTCCCCTGACAGATTCATGATACTTATCATGGAGATTATTTCCTAGATGTACATTTCTAAGATCCAGAGACATATTATTCTTGGCTATTTTTGCTTGCTGAAAGAGTTTTTGCATGTAATTTGAGCCACATCATTAATGAACTCATAAGTGGACATTGTGGATTTGAGAAAAAGTGTGCCAACATTAAATTTTAAAAAATGACAAAATGTCTTGTAGTATTAAAGCAAAAACATTTTTATTATTAAACTACTAGACTGATGTTAAGAGTAAAAAAAGGAATACATCATGGAAAATTTCAAATGTGATAGATATATAAGTGTAAAAGAAGTTATAACAGCTAAACTATTGAAGCCTTAATTATTTAATGTCCTTGAAAGAAGTAGAGAAAATTGAGACTTAGGAATCATTCCTTGAATACTTTACCCTGTGAAAATTATTGACTTAGTCTTTGATAATATGTAGCCATACTAGTTTTATTCAGCATAATATATGGTTTATTACATGTAAGATAAATAGATCAAAGATAGTAGGACAGAGTTTATAGGAAAGGGAGGTCCATGTGGACAGAGGGGGTGTCCATATGGAAAGTGGTGGAGAAGAAAATTTCACTACGCAAGTCCTGGAGGAAAGAAAGAATTCTTAGGGGTAATTGGGAATGTTATTTTGTACCTCATTATGGTACTGCCTATTCTAACATTTAATCTGATTTTGTTTATAATTTTTATTGCATGTATTATTTTCACATTCGTTGACTAGATTTTTAGGGAATGTTCTTAGGGTATTAGAAATACAGACTGACTATGTTTAACTTTTAGAAACAATATGGATCCTATTTGGGGATTTTAGTTGAAATTTAATTTTTGTACATTGTTGTCATAGTAAATGTTTCCTACTTTTCTTTTGAGTAAGAAATACTAGTTTGGCATTACATAACATTTACAGTATCAGTTTTGTTTGTGTTTGTGATGTTGAAGATCTAAACCAGGGCCTAAGGCACACTATACAAGTGCTCTACCATTGAACCACATCCCCAGCTTCTGCAGTGTCAGTTTTTAATTTGATTGCATAAACATTCTGAAAATAATGTGCAATATGGCTTTAAAGAACTTCCCATAAAACTTTTTGTAGAAAATATTTTCTTGGTTTGTACTAAGAAAATGAATGAACGGTAGCTATTTTGGTGTGACACAGCGAAGTTTAATGATCTTTGAGGATTACCTTCAAGCACATATCACTTCATTTTAATCTCTTTATAACTGTTGACAAATTAAGTAAAATTTCTGACTTGTATTCGAAAGTCATCTTTAAAGCATTGTGTATTTCCTAAAAGATTATTTAAAAATATTTATTAAAATCAATAAATGGAATTTGATTTCATTTATATTTATATTGCCTAATTTTTAATTAGCAGTGTTCTCTACCTAACACTTGTTGAAACTATATTAACAAATTCTTGAACTTGAAATTAAGCCTAATAAAAATTATTGTTTTGATGTAATAAGAGTACATTTACTCTTCTCTTTCATTTTAGACAACAGTACTTCAAATTAATCGATGAGTGTGTATCCCAGATTGTATTGCATAAAGATGGAATGGATCCAGATTTCACATATCGAAAACGATTGGATTTAGATTTAAGTCAATTTGTAGGTAAGTATTTCTTCATTTAAATTCAAATATCTTATTTTTTTCTATGACTTGGGTTAGCTCTGTGGTATTGGTTTCTATGATGGACCTCCAGAGGGTCTTTAAGCCCCTTTCAGGGTATCTTAGTAGTCATTATAATACTTATTTATTATTTGCCTTTTTGATTCTGTTAATGTCTTCCACTGATGGCGCAAAGCAATGGGGTGTAAAATTTATAAATCAAGGCACTGGCACTAAACTGTACTCAGTGTATTCTTTACATAGAACAAAGCAACACGTGGGGCACACTTGTAATCCTAGATACATCGGAGGCTGAGGCCGGAGGATCATAAGTTTGAGGACAGCTGTGACAAGTTAATAAGACCCTGTCTCAAAATAATAAGACTCTGTAGTAGTAGTAGTAATAATAATAATAATAATAATAATAATAATACAAAAGGGGCAAAGACATGATTCAGTGCACCCCTGGGTGGAACCTTAGAACTGCAAACTAAACTAATCCTGCTAATTTTCTAAAAAGAAATTCCATGTAGTCCTAAGAATAATTTTATTACATGTTGCTGCTTAAGAACATCTTTGCAATATTGTATGTTAACAAATGAATTATATGCGTAAAGCATTTGTGTGTGCCAATGCATAAAATAGTCAAAAACAGTCTTTTAGTTTGAAACACTGTCATGTGAACTTGTTACTCTGTTTAGCACACATATTCATAAAACTGAAATAGAGTGAACCTGTACTTCAAAGACAATGACTGACAGAATTTGTGACCAATTAGAAAACCTGAGTTTTTAAGTGAAAATTAGAATTTTGAAAACTCATATTTATTGCTGCTACCTTTATAGTGTCTTAGTACTAACAAAACAAAACAAAACAAACCTTTCTAGTGTGTTTAGTGGAATAATTAACCAATATGGTTATTTTGATATTTTATAAAGAGATGTGTTAAAATTTGGAGATGTGCTTGACTCAGCAAACTACTCATTTCTAAATAACCAGCGCCTGATGATACAAATTTAGCATAGGCAAAAGATCCATTAAAAGTTAAATAGTGATGCATGATCTTACAGTAACAGTGCAAGTTCATTCATATTTGGATACTATTTAAGAAGTATCATTTGTGAAATTTTGGTGTAACAGCAGAGAATAATATACAGGAAGGTCTGAAAAGGCTATCAACACACACCTCCCATTTTCAACTACTTATCTATGCAAGATTATGTTTTTCTTCTACACTCAGGAAAAGAAATGGAATGTATAGAAGGAGTAGAGAACTAGGTAACATTAGTGACACTGATAATGAAAATGCTTGTTTCTGTGGAGAGAAACAATTAGCATTTCCTAAGAGTAAGAGTGGGGCATAGATGCTAAGAAAAATGTGCTCTATATATGTAGCAAACCAAAATGGGAAATGATTTTGTATGGTGTCAGAAAAATATATCCCACCTGGACATTAGGAATGCTTTTTCTTTGGTAGCTGTGGGATTTTGTTATTGAAGTCTTGAGAAAGAAATAGAAAGCTTTGAATACTGCTGGACAATACAAATGAATCATATTTATACAGTTTTAATAAATTTATTGCTTATTAATTTTAAATGATTAGAATAAATATACAGATTTAAATACAGGAAAGACTTGTATTTATGAGTAGGTGAGAGAAGAGATAAAGTCCAGCAACAGGGGAGACAGGTGTTAAAAAGCATAGGTTGCATATGATTTCATATATCATAGTAATTGAGAGATAATTTCTATATTTTAGGAATCAGAGAATTAATTATTTAGTCCCATGGAGCCATATAACATAAACAATATTTTAATGAGTATTCTGCCCAGTGGCAAAGTCCTAAAAAATAGTATTGCTGTCTGAAAGAAGTGTTTTCTTTTAAAATTTTAGCAAGTATTGCCTAATTTTTAATCAGCAGTGTTCCTCACTTAACACTTCAGTTATTACTTTGTAGGAGAGTTGGTTTCCTTGTGCCAACTCCAATACTTGACATTATGGACCATTTAATCTTTGCTATGAGTTCTCATTTGAAATTTTATATTTTCATATTATTTGGTTGTAACAAACCTTTTAGTAGTTGTTGTTTTTCCCCCTATTATGGCTGCCTGTTTCCTAGTTTCTGTTGGTCTCATTTTTCCTTCTTCCTTCAGAATATTTAAGGTTGATGATAGGAACTTTTGGGTGTTATATAATTGAAATCTCTCCTCTTCCGTGATAGAAGTTTAAAATTGTACTTGGGTTTTTCTTTTTTGATGTCAGGCTTTATAAAGCCACCTCCGTTTCAGCCTCATAATATGTTTCTTCATTTTGTTTACATTTTCTCTATTTATCACTATTAATTCTAATTCCATTCCATGATTTTTTCTTTCTAAGCTATTGAATTTACAATGAATTTAAGTAATATTGCAATTAAACGATTTTTGTCATTGCAATTTTAGATGTTTGCATAGATCAAGCAAAACTAGAAGAGTTTGAAGAAAAGGCATCAGAACTTCACAAAAAAGTAAGTAACGTTGACCAACCTTGCCAGACTTTGTGGGGAATTACTGAAGGCATGAATGGACTTCAGGGACTTTGCTTGTTATTCTCTCTCTTTTTTTTCCCCTCCTAGGTATTTACCCATATACTGTTCTCTATGTATAATTTCTTAGACCACCTTGTTATTTAAAACTTCATTCCCCATTCCCAAGTTTTGCCTTTCCTGTACTTCTTCCCTTATTTTTTTTTACATTATATTTGTTATAACCTTGTATAGTACTAAATTTATGTACTTTTATGTGTACATGTGTATTAGTTATTTCTCCACTCCAGAGTAAACTTTGAGGGTTCCCCCCCCCCCCCCATTCACTATTTCTGCACCAAGAACAATTCCTGACTTTGTGTAAGAACTAAAAAAATATTTTTTTGAATGAAAAAATAAATAGTTGAACAAAATGTTTAGAATCAAAATCCTAAGATGAGTAATTCTTTAGAAGTCATAGTTTAGATTCTTTAGACTGAAATTATATCTGAAATTTTTAGAAAGGTTAAATTTTTGTTTTGAGTTGCTTCATTATTAGGTTGAACTATACCAGGTTGCTGTTTCATAGTTGGAAACTGTTGACTATTTTTAGCTTCATCAGTTTCAACCTTAGTATTTCTGAGAATCCAGCCATTCCCTATTTTTCTCTAAAGTGGTGTTTTTACCTTTTATCTCTGGCTTGGCATGTACCCATTAGACTTTCTTGGTTGTATTCTTTACATTTATATAATCATTCTCATTTGAATTCTTAGGGCTGCTTTCTTCTATTACATTTATATAATCATTCTCATTTGAATTCTTAGGGCTGCTTTCTTCTATCATTAGAATAATAATAATTACCACAAAAAGACTGCCATCATAGCCACACCATAAGGAATATTTATTAAATGAATGTTTGCACCATCCCAAGGTATGCACATGTTTGAGTTGCAGATTCTAATTATGTCTTGAAAGAATTTCACTTTTCCATAAACATCGAAGATCATAACTTCCAAATAATAGGCACCATTTCCTTCATTAAGGAGTGACATATGAAAAACATTGAATTTTTTTTTTTTTTTTTTTGTACAGGGGAGTGAACCCAGGGGCTCTTAATCACTGAGCCACATCCTCAGCCCTTTTTATGTTTTATTTAGAGACAGGGTCTAGGTAAATTCCTTAGGCCTTGCTAAGTTGCTGATCCTGGCTTTGAACCTGAGATCCTCCCACCTGAGCCTCCTGAGCTGCTAGGATGTGTGCTCCACCATGCCCGGCCATTGAAGAATTTTTTGTGTGGAAAGTCCTAGGGTATTGGGCTCGCCAAACATTAAGTGAGAGGTTATATCTAGTCCTTTGGCCTCAGGCTTGTGTCACAGCTATGAATATGAATATAAATATTGTCATTGCCTTGAATGACTTGGTGTACTACAGATTAATGGATCACTTAAGTCTACAAAGTGTCACTGTTGATAGATGTTCATGTTGTAGTGTGAACCTTCCCCCAGTGAGCCTTGTATTCTAGGCTCCATAAGCCCTTTCACCTTTCCTGGCAAGGTTATAATACACTTTCAAGTACTAGAATTGAATACGGCCCAGACAGTGTTTATTTGCTCTGGTTATCATTTTCAGATATATAGTGTATCTGAGTTGAACAATATATTTCTCAACAGATTTCTTTTAAATTACAAAGTTTAAATGTAATTCAAAGATCTTGTTCAAGGTTAGTTGTCTTTTTTTAGTCAGAAATTATTTTTTAGGTATATTCAAAAAATATTGTTTCATAAAAGATTTCTATTGCCATACCATTTTGTATATATCAGCAAAAACTTTGTTCTGATAGCTTTATAAGGACACATGTAAATACCTTGCTTTAGGGAGGAAGGAATCATAGTTGCTAGACACATTCTTTATTTTGGTGCATAAATTTGAAAAATGAAGACCAGAAATGTCAGATAGTGTATAGAGAATATTGAATTATCAACCTTCTTGTGCAGATGTACTAATACATTTACTCTAGGGAACAAAATTAAGCAGAACCTCAACCTTAACTGTGTTTCTTGACATTTTTGTTTGTAATTTTGTAAGTATAATATTGCTGTAGCAACTCTTTTTGGAGAAGAACGCTATCATATCAGATTTTATAAGGTATACTTTTAATGGAGACTCATTTTATCCCTACGGCTACAGTGATTTGACTATAGATATTATAAAAATGCTAAAGCAAAGTTTATGCTTCATCTGATCCTTTTATAGGGGAGGATGTAGAAATTTATCTCTTTGGTGAATAATACAGATACTTTTAGTATTTGCCAAGTTGATTTAATAAATTTTCAGAGTGTACTAATTATGACTGGTTGTTTTAATCATTTTTTTTTCCTTTGGCCCCCTAAATAACACTTTTACTTTCTGAATTTTAGACTAAACATAGAATAGTGTACATATGATATTGTTAAAAGACTTTTTCATTCTTCCTCTCATAAGCATTTATTTTGTGTAGCAATGAACTTTGTCTCAGTAGTAAGAAAGAAGAGAAAATGACCCCTTAATGATCTTTGATATGGGAGGAATGGTTAAATTTAATATATGATATTGACACAGTCATTCAGCACATGAAAATTTGACAGGAGTTGGCTCTATCACTTCATTCCATAAACATTTATTGAATTTATTTATAAATGTAAGGCATTCAAAAGGTAATGAATAAAAAAGGTTCTCATTTTTATGAGTTTCCATGTTGAAGAATGCTATTGAGTCATGTGATGCTACATTTTAAGAATTTTATATGACAGCATGATAATTGTGGTAGAAAAGTCCTATGTGGGATGCGAGCCAACAGGAAGGATTTTTCATCTAGTCTTGGATGGTCAGGGAAGACTTATCCAAGAAGTGTTATCTGATGTCAGTCCTGAAGCATCAGTATGAAGTAACAAGTTGAGGTATTCAAGGAAGAGGTGAATGTAAATTTATTTTCAATTTCTTCTAGGTATATCAAGCTTGACATATCTGCAGTTTGGATATGGTTTTATTTTGTCCTTCTTACAGATCATGTGTTAAAGGATTGGTCCCCTGGTGTGACACTGCTGGGAGGTGGTAGAACCATTAAGGTTTGGGGCCCAGTGGGAGGCCTTTAGGTCATTGGGTCATAACATAGTTCTCTGTGCCACCCTTTGAGTCTTGCCAGAGGAAGAGGACTATTATAAAAGGAGCAAGCCTGATTCCTCTGATCTTCTTTATTGCTGCTTCCTCATATAATTGCTTGCTCTGGCATACACTCCTTCTGTTGCTGTCTGTGCCTTGAGGTGATACAGCTCAGGGTGGCCCTTATAATAGAGCTGTGTTATGCCATTTGAACTTTGAATCTCCAAAACTATGAACTAAATATACAAACCTATTTTTAATAAGGAGCCTCTGCCAGTTATTTCTTTATAGTGATGCACATCTGAATTATAAATGGAACCAAAGTCATCTTTTTTTCTTCCTAAAAATGGCTTTCTTACCTGCATTTTATATACTCCTCCTATCCCATGTTACAACACTTTGTTTCCAGTGCAAAAAACACATAACTCTGTACTCATCTTAGATATCCTCTCCTGTTCTATTTCTTCTTTCAGTCAGATACAAACACTTTTGGATTCTTTAGGCTCATTTCTTCTGCATTATCTTCTCCTCCAGCTCAATTCAGATAGGTCCTTAGTTCTTGTTTGGACAACTACAATAGCCTCCAAACTAATCTTTGTGCCTGTAGTATTTCCCTTTTGTTTCATCTTCTACACCTTTCCTAGTTGGGTTTTCCAAAGTGCAAATTGATCATGTTATTTCCTAGCATACTTAACCTCACAACATTCTGTGGATTTTAGGACAAACAAAACAAAACAAAAAAAAACTGGTTTATTGCAAAATTCCTTTCAAAATTTAATTCCTAAGTAAATTAATTAATAAAATAGAATATTACAAAATTGAACTTGTGAATAAAAAATTGTTCCTGTGTATATCTCCAGCTTAATCCCCACAGCTTGTTTTTATATCTTCTTTTGTGCCCCTGACAAAAAAATTGATTGTATTTCCTCTGTGCATTGGTATTCCCTCAGCTTGAAATGGTAAATGCACTTCTCAGCTAATTCTTCACATTCTTTAAGCCTGATGTTATATATTATTCCTCTAGGAATCATTCCATGGCACTCAGTTCTTCTCTAGCTTTATTGGTGGTACTTCTCATGGAGTTGGGGTATTTGCTTTTACTTTACTATCAGACTCTGCTTACTAGAAGCACTGGCCATGTTCTGCTTAACACTCTTACCTCCAGTACCTAACCCTCTGAGAGAAATGTTAAAGGAGACATATTATTTGGATTGTTATTAACAAAGAACAACAGTGTTGAAAAATCAAGGTTTGTAGAGGGAAGACTTAACCTTGGTTTTGGAAAGTTTTTATTTTTTATTTTGCTTTTATTTATTTTTTTATTTGAATATTTTTCATTAAGCAATTGAAAATGTATTTATGGCTTAATTAGTAGTCTGGTACTTAGATGAAAGATGTCTTGGTGATAGGGATTTGGATGCCATCAGTATATGAATGGTGATGTGGAAGAGGTTATCTTATGAGAAATTTGAATGAGAGAAGCAGAGCGATGAGGCAAAAGTCCTATACTTTGCCAACATGCAAGAAATTGGGAGGAGAAATCAGGAGTAGGAGGAGAAGGGGACAGAGGAGAAGCAGAAGATGATCATGTAGTAGAACATACAGAAAAGATATTGCATATTCTATTTGTAAGTATTTATGCTATAGAGCAGACATGCCCCTTATAGGAGTGTGGAATATCGTATAATTTATTTTGTTCAACATGGTAGCCAGTGCATTGTGTGTGTCTGTTGCATCCTTTAAAATGACTAGTGTGACTGAGGAGCTGGATTTGAAATTTTATGTGAATTTTGTGAATTTAAATTTATACTTAACCAGTTATGGCCAGTTGAATTGTGCAGCTATGGAGGTACCTCCAAATGTGAGACTGATTTAGAATTTGGAAAGTCACAGTTATTAGAGTAATGGATACTGAAGTGAATGACGTTCAATAGCTTAGAAAAGTGAGAATGGACTAAGAACATTGTAAAAGTTGTCTTTGAAGCAAAATTGTAAGATTATGTTGTAAGGGGTAAGATGAAGGACCAAAATACAGAGGGCTGAGGATGTAGCAAGAGTGTTGAGACAATTGATTTATTTTGTCTCTGGGGAAGCCTTTCATGGCAAGAGGAATTAGGTTAACCTCTGAGTGTGCTTGGGGTTCTAAATTGCTTACTTAGGTTTAGGATTAGTATCTTTTTACTTATTTCATGGTAAGAGTGGCTTGGAGGAGCTGCAGTAGTAGTGGGAGTGGGAATGTTCCTGTGGTTTTGGTGAACTAAAGGACTTTTGGGCAGTTTTTACCTGTTAGTTCCTGTGATCATTTAGTAGGGATCTAAGTTTGAGAGTAAGGATCAGTAGCATGCGATTTAATTTCCTGACATGTAAATGGGAATTAAAATAATATTTCTTGTTTCACAGAGTTTGGGTTATAAAACTTACAAATGCTTCATCTTAAAACTCCAGTATACGCAGGAGACTGGATGCTTCTGTGCAGGCATGGGGATATGCAGTATTTTGACCTTTTGCTCAGTTGTATGTCTTAAAACCTCTTTAAAAGTAGCCTATTAGGAAAGATGAAAAGCATTATCTATACTTTAATTGTAGGGAGATGGTGTGGCTTCAGCTGAGTGATTCAGACTTGGAAGGCCAAAAATCTGGCTTTTTAAGTCTCACATCTTTTACTAGTAACTATCTTTTTGTGTTAAGGGTTTAAAGGCCAGAGGCTACATTTATGAAGCAGTTGCATCTTCTTATAATGATTTTCTTCTTTTAAAAAAGAGCTAAATACTTGTTCTTGATTATGAGACAATACCCTATTTAAATTCAGTTTTCTTTTTTTAAAGTATTTTTTTAGTTGTGCTTGGACCCAATATCTTTATTTTATTTATTTATTTTTATGTGTTGCTGAGAATCCAACCCAGTGCCTCGAATGTGCTAGGCAAGTGCTCTACTGCTGAGCCACAACCCCAGCCCCTAAATTCAATTTTCTTAAGAGAGGTTTTCAATCCTGATGATGGCAGAATAGAGCTATTTGAGTACAAGATGGGAACTTGTGATGAGTGGTTATATAAATTAGAAAACTCATTGGATTCCCCAAATTTTATTGTTTGCCTTGCACCCTGAAGGTATAGCACAAAGGACTTTGAAAGATTAACTTGCCATTAATCTCTCAAAGGTACTAGGAGACATGTTGTTATAAGAAAAAAAGCAAGTAACTGATGCATTTATACAATAGAGTTGTTTATTAATAAAATATATTGAAACGGAATGCTTTTAAATCATCTTGATAAACTTCAGATAAGTTTCAAGTATAGGGTTATAAAGGTGGGAGCAACTAGGAATTCAATATAATGTTTTGTTCTCTTATTTTCACACAAAATCACAATGATATTTAGGGACTTTTAAGAAAAATGCCAAGGTCATAGACAACTATGAGCCAGTTTGCTGAGAGAAGAAGGTCATATACTGCATCTCTGACTTGGTCTGCTCCCTTGTGAATGAATGATTTTGCCTGGAACTGGAGAGACCTAGGGAAAAGCTGTGGGTGACTAATCACAAAATCTACCATTTCTTTTATAAAACAAATTTAGAAATGTATGTTCTATTGGCAGATCTTTTTAGTCATATTTTTATATAAAGGATTCTGCTTTTCATTTCCATCTTTCTTTCTCTTTTTCTTTTCAGTTTGAAAAAGAGTTTACTGACCACCAAGAAACTCAGGCTCAATTGCAAAAAAAAGAAGAAAAGATTAATGAGCTTCAAGTACAATTGCAAGCTTTTAAATCTCAGGTAAAATGCCATTCTGGGTGATTTTGATATGGAAACCACATCAGGAGGACAAAGGTCATGTTATATCTTTATAGCATCAAATGTTTAAACTTAAATTTCATTTATATGTTTTCATAATATTGTTTATATGCATTTCTCTTCCGTTTTTAAATTTATTTTTTACTTTATTCCTACTTGTATTTTCAGGAGTCTGTAATATTTTAGGAATTACCCTGCTTCCTTGTGTATTATTTGGGTTTTATTTCTAATGTCTAATAAAACCCAAATGTATATTATTTGGGTTTTATTTCTAAATAATTAAGCATAAAGGTTAAGAAATTCTTTTGCTTTTAGATTTGTCATTCATCACTGATCTTCATCCTAATACAGGAAATTATTGCTCAAGCTATTTATTTTTCAAAACCTTCAGCCTATGGGTACCTTGCAGTGAAAGATAACCTCTAGCTGAATGAGACTATTTTCTGATAATTTTTCAATTTCCAAAAGTAAACAGATTTAAAACATGACAAAAAAAAAAAAGAGAGCAAATCTGGATTATGAAGTAGATATCTCACATACACGCTTTACACCTAAAACATTAGATAGCACGAAATACATCATCTGCATGCTTTATATGGATGAAAACAAGGGGATAGAACATTCAGAGCTAAATTTCTTCATGTACGTTTACGTATAGGATGATGAGCAATAAGTATAGTTTAGCTATTTTCCTTTGTCCTGATTTATCGTTATGTTGAAAGAGTCTCAGGTATACTGTTTTCTGTATTATTGTCCCTTTTGTTTTAGATACTTAATGAATAGTTTTGTTACAAGGGCTGTCTGAAAATGCCTTTAGGAGATAGCGATCTGTTGGATTTTAACTTTTAAAATGAAATTGAATAATGTTTATAAGAAAAACATTCTCATTGAGTTTTCTTTATTTTTCCAAGGAGGAAGTACCATATTTCACTGAATTTTTTTCCTCTTATGGCACCTTACCTTTCATTTTTTAAAAACTTTGTTTTCTGTGGCTTGTAGGCAATCGCTGAAACATTTATAACTTTTTCCTGGCCTTAGCTTATGTAAATTGAAAAAAATTTCTTTTTAATTTTGCCAGTTGATACATTACTTGCAAATCCATCCTGGAAAATTCCAGTTTATAAAAAATATTTCCACTATCTTTGGATAAATTATTGCTTCGTGCTACTTTTTTGTTATAAAATGGGAGTGAATTTATGTTTTGAAATAAATCAAGAATTCTCCCAAGTTATATGTAATGATCATATCATTTATGGCTATCCAAGGAAAGCCTGGAATTAAGATATTTAATGATGGACCTCATATTCATTTTTTGAAAAACACTAGCAAATTATTTCCTCAGATGTTTGTACTTCTCAGGAGATCTGCCCATTTGTCTTAAGGCTCTTTTCTCTCTCTTGCTCAGTATTTAGTTGAACCCAGGGATGTTTTACCACTGAGCTACATCTCCACTTCCTTTTTTGATTGTTTGTTTTTTACATTTTTCATTTTGAGACAAGTTGTTACAGAACTGCTGAGGTTGCCTTCAAACTTGTTATCCTCCAGACTTGTCTCTTCGTTTGCTGGGATTACAGGAGTGTGCCATTATGCCCAGCCTAAGACCCTTCTCTTTAAGCACTTACTGGCAAATGCCATAATTTCACTGTTCTTTAAAGCTGAGCAATATTCCATTGAGTATATATAACACATTTTCTTTATTCATTCATCTATTGAGGGTGCTAGGTTGGTTCCATCGTCTACCTATTGTGAATTGAGATGCTATAAATGTGGCTGCATCACTATAGTATGCTGATTTTAAGTCCTTTGATTATAAACCAAGGAGTGGGATAGCTGGATCAAATGGTGGTTTTATTCCCAGTTTTCCAAGGAATCTCCATACTGCTTTCCATAGTAGTTGCACCAATTTTCAGTCCCACCAGCAATGTATGTGTGTATCTTTTTTACCACATCCTTGCCCGCATTCATTGTTGCCTGTATTCTTGATGATTGCCATTCTGACAGGACTGAGATGAAATCTTAGAGTAGTTTTGATTTGCACTTCTCTAATTGCTAGAGTTGTTGAGCATTTTTTCATATATTTGTTGATTGATTGTATTTCTTCTTCTGTGAAGTGTCTGTTCAGTTCCTTAGGCCATTTATTGATTGTATTATTTGTTTTTTGAGTTCTTTATAGAGATTAGTGCTTTATCAGAGGTGGATATGGTAAAGATTTTCTCCCTATCTTAGGCTCTGTCCTCACATTATTAATTTTTTCCTTTGCTGAGAAAAAGGTTTTTAATTTGAATCCATCCCATTCATTGATTTTTTTATTTTACTTCTTGTGCTTTCGGAGTCTTGTTAAGGAAGTCAGATCCTAGGCCGACGTGGTTAAGATTTGGGCCTAACTTTTCTTCTGTTAGGCGCAGGGTCTCAGTTCTCGTGCCTAAGTTTTTGATCCACTTGAGCTGATTTTTATACAGGGTGAAAGATAGAGGCCTGAACCATATATTCTAATGACTTTTGAGTTTATCAAATGAAGCTTCATGGGTAGCTAACTATCAAATTTACATGAGTGTGAGGACAGATCTTATGCATCTTTGGCATTCTATGGGCAGTCCTGTTCTTGGTCACAGCCTGCAGGCAATACTCTTCATTATGCTTGATGTTCTTAATAAGGCATGCTGTTTGATTTGTGGTCTTTTATAACACTGTTTTTGTTTGTGCTGGTGTCATGTCATTAATTTTATGCTCTTATGTGTGTTCTGCTTTCTATAGTGTACCATAAAACTTTTAATATCATTGATATTTCTTACATGTGCATAATTTGCTAGTTAGTTCTCATATATGTATTTGGTATGAGGGAGGGCTTACAATTGAAGTTAATAATTTCAAGGAATTAACTGTATTACCAAGACTTACTAACCCTACTTCTGTATGATCATAAAAATTCATCTTCTAAATTCTCACCATACTCTGCAAACATAATGGGAAAGGTGGCTCAATGGACATAGCTGTTTGCTTTACACTCCTGATTTCCACCTATCTTCTTTATGGCAATTGACTCTGTAGAATGATGTAGAGTGGAACACTCTTTTTTCACTTTTGGTTTATGATTCTGAGCTTGCCTTTTCCTCTTCCTGTGTTTGTTTATTTCTTCGGTTATATTTGTGTTGCTGGGAATTGAACCTAGGGTTTTGTACATGCTAAGCATGTACTTTGTCATTGAGCTACATTCCCATACCTTTAAAAAAATTCATTTAATTTGAGACAGGGTCATTCTGAGTTGCTGAATTCGGCCACTAACTTGTGATATTGCTGCCTCAGCATCCCCAGTAGCTGAGATTACAGATCTTTCAGGCTTAATCCTTTTATTCTATACTTTTCTTCAATGACTGTCATGTGCCAGTCACTTGTTGAGGTGCTGGGAAAGAGTAGTGAGTAAAACAGCATAGTCAATTCCCTACTGCAGTTTTTAATCTATCAATGAGATAATTGCTACATCCCTGGACTTTTCTTAATTTTTATTTTGAGGTAGGGACTTACTAAGTTGCCAAAACTTGTCTTGGACTTGGTTCTTCCTGGTTCAGACTCCTGATTATTTCACACTTCTGATAAGAGGTAGTAAGAAGAAGTATAGAGTGCTGCCAGTGTAAAATGAGTGTCAAGATCAAACTTTCCTGAAGAAGGAATATGTTAACTCATTCTGGAAAGACTGGTAGAAGATGGTCAAGTAAAAATATAACATACAAGGGCCCCTGATATCAGTATTACGAGTTGGTGCATATATCTAATTAGAAGGAAGTTACTTAAAAGACCAATTTGTAGGGACCTGATCATGATATTTATTTGTAGACCCTACTAGAAATTTTAAGAATGTTTTTCCTAAAGTGCATCAGACATATGGAGAAGATTTGGAAATAACCATTTAATCTTTTTTTTTGTTTGTTTCTTATATATATATTTTTTACTTATCAATTAAATGCATGTTTATAGAACTCTATAGACATGTCTTTTCTCATCCTACATATTATCTGCATATTGTGAGCTCACATTTTCTTTCTTAGCTTGGGTTGTCACCTACAGACAGTTGGGTTTTTATTTGTTCTTTTTAAAAATTTTATTGGTTCTTTTAAGTTATACATGACAGTAGAGATCCATTTTGATAAAATTATACAAGGATGGAATATATTTTATTCTAATTAGGACTTCAGTCTTGTGGATGTACATGGTTATGAGATTTAATATGGTGTATTCATATATGTACTTAGGAAAATTATGTCAGATTCATTCCACTGTCTTTCAGTTTCTATTCCTCCTCTCTTTTCTTGTTTTCCCTTTGACTAATCTACTGAACTTCTGTTTTTCCTCTTCAAGTCCCCCTTATTTTGGGTTAGCGTCCACATGTTAGAGAAAACGTTGGACTTTTGGTTTTTGGGATTGGTTTGTTTCACTTAGCATGATTTTTCTCTATATCCATCCATTTACTGGCAGATATCATGAAGTCATTCTTCTTTGTGGCTGAGTAATACTCCATCATGTATATGTATCACAAGTGCTTTATTCATTCATCTGTTGAAGGGTACGTAGGTTGCCTCCATAATAGCTATTATGAATTTTGCTGCTATAAGCACTGATGTTGCTTTGTCACTATAGAATGCTGACTTTAAATCCTTTGGGTATATACTGAGTTGTGGGATAACTGTTTCCAAAGGTGATTTCATTTCTAGTTTTTTGAGGAATCTCCATACTGCTTTTCAGAGTGGTTGACCAATTTGCCCTCCCACTAGCAGTGCATGTATGTACTGTTTTCCCTACATCCTTAGCAACATTGTTACTTGCATTCTTAATTGCCATTCTTGTTGGAGTGAGATAAATCTCAATATAGGTTTTTTTTTTTTTTTTTTGAGAGAGAGAGAGAGAGAGAGAGAATTTTTTAATATTTATTTTTTAGTTTTCGGCAGACACAACATCTTTGTTTGTATGTGGTGCTGAGGATCGAACCCGGGCCGCATGCATGCCAGGCGAGCGCGCTACCGCTTGAGCCACATCCCCAGCCCTCAATATAGTTTTAATATTCATTTTTCTAATTGCTAGAGAGATTGGACATTTTTTCATATATTTGTTGTCTGTTGTTTTTCTTCTTTTGAAAAGTGTCAAATAAATGTCATTGCCCATTTATTGATTGGGTTATTTGTTTATATATATACACATACACACACACATACATACACACACACATATATTTTTTTGGATTTTTGAATTCTTTGTTTATCCTGGAAATTAACTCCTTATCTGAGGTGTGTATTACAAAGATTTTCTTCCATTTTGTATGCTCTCTCTTAATGTTCTTGATTGTTTCCTTTGCTGTAAAGAAGCTTTTTAGTTTGATATCATCAATTTTTGATTTTTTTTATTCTACTTATTGTACTTTAGGAGCCTTTTTGAGGAATTCAATAACTGAGCCAATATGTTAGAGTATTGGGCCTACATTTTCTGCTAGTAGGTACAGGTTTTTGGTTAGTAACCAGATCTTTGATCTAATATGAGTTGAGTTTTGTGCAGGATGAGACATAGGGTTTAATTTTTATTCTACTACATATGGATTTCCAGTTTTCCCAACATAATTTCTTGAAGAGGTTGTCTTGTCTCCAGTGTATGTTTTTTGCGCTTTTTACATAGCTGATTTTCAAATCTCAGACATCTCTATACCCATTTCCATAGTGGGCATTTCTACTTGTGTAGCCATCACTGTCTTCAAATTGGGAATTGTATTTCTGGCAATTATATTTTCTTGAGAACAACAGCTATATAACTCTTATATTAGAAATGTTCTCAGAGTTTTATGTTTTGGTTAAATTATATTGATATTAGTTAATTTTGGTTAAAAATGTATCTTAGTTTTGAGTAAAGTACACTTTGTACACATTTGTAAACATGTTCTCAGTTGTTTCTCTTATTACTTTTTTCTCTAGTTTGGTGCCTTGCCAGCTGATGTCAGTATTTCTTTGCCACCTTCAAAAGAAGATGGAGCTGGTCACCCACCACTTCCTGCTCCCCCTCCATTGCCCTCTTGTGGAGGGTTGCCACCTCCACCACCCCCTCCACCACCACCTCCACTTCCAGGAATGCCCTTGCCATTTGGTGGTCCTGTGCCTCCACCTCCTCCTCTGGGCTTTTTTGGTGGTAGAAACTCTCCTCCTCCACCAACACTGCCATTTGGGTTGAAACCAAAGAAAGAATTTAAACCTGAAACCAGCATGAGAAGATTGAATTGGTTAAAGGTGAAATGTACAAATGGAGGAAACCGTACTTCTATCTAGATTAAAATTTTATTTTGGATTGACTAACATGTAATTTCTAGTGGGAACCCTAATCAAAGTGACAATGAATAAAATGGTATTATTATTATTTAAAAAATAGGCATGTTGAGACAAAGTCCTATATTATGGACTAAGTTGTCCTGGTTCATAAATTTGATGAGAATTGATGTTTCAATGAGATTTGATTTGTAATTAAGTTGATATTTCAGAATTATTGTGATGGAAACTTACATTTATGTAGAACTTTTCAAAAGTACAAAAGTCTTAGTGTTTTTAGGATTTTTTTCTCTGTTGGTAGCTATTGGAAAAATACTATGTATTGTCAGAAGCTGATACTTAGGTCATAAGAATTCTGAGTCTGGCAGAAAGGTAGTTTGATGGTCACATAAATTGGGGAAATGCTGTATAATGAATATATCTTGCCCTTCAAGAGTTGTAGTGGGGGTGAACATTAATAATCCTCTGAGAAATACAATTGAGAAGGAATAAATTAAACTTTATTTCATTCAGCTGCAAATCCCTACCTATTTGATCATAGAAACTTTTTCTTTCTCATCAGAACTTAATGTCCTTCACAATTTGTACTTCATTGAACAGACTTTGGGGGAAAATCTTGCAGAGATTACTTCATAAACATCCGCTGGCAGCTTTGGGCCTGGGTGTATACATTGCGATTGGGCTGGGACAGGTGAAACACTCAGCTGTTTGTGAATCAGTCTTCTCCCTGATTGCAGATCAGACCTCATGAAATGACTGAAAACTGTTTCTGGATAAAAGTAAATGAAAATAAGTATGAAAATACGGATTTACTTTATAAACTTGAGAATACTTTTTGTTGCCAACAAAAAGGTAAGCTTAACATCTTGGTTATGTATTTATATTTAGAATTTTAATTGCCAGTTTGCATATCCAGCCTCTACAAACATTATTTTAAGAATCCTATCCCTTATATTTTTACATTACAAATGATAAATTATCTCAGGAGTATTTAAAAGTGAATTTTGTTGTAAATTATATTAAAATGGGCAATTTTTAAAATGCAAATGATTAATATAAACTTTTATTTTAAAGTTTTTTTGTGTAATAGTTGTTTTGACGATGTTCTATTGTGGTGAAATAGTTTTTTTTTTTTTTTTTTAAGAAAGTTTTTTTCAGAGTCAGTTTTAGCATGTGAATTTCCTTTAGTTTGAGAAATAGAAAAAATAAATGTCAGCCTTTCTCTAGTCAGAGTTTTGCCACACTTAGTATTATAGTGACTGCTCCATAATTAGTTGGTATAAGCAAATGAGATAGAAATATCAAATATATTGTGTATTCAAAGTTGACGTGAAAAACAAGTGTTTTAGTATGTTATGATCTTTTTATTAAAAACAATGGATTTAATTTTGCAACTTGTTTTGTGATAGCTTAACCTGTGCAGTGTGTTTTTTTAAAAAAATTGTTTTTAAGGACATGGGCTTTTTTTTTTTTGTCTGAAAATTGAATTCATTTTTTCCAGTCTCCCATGGGCTTGCCACTTATATTCAATGCCTGATAATAACATATTTTGTTAAATTAATTTTTATGTGTATGTAAAACTTATACTTTTGGTTTGTAGGAAGGCATTTTAGATCAATCATTACCTTTTAACTTTTGAAAAGACCCTTTTCCACCATAGCCCTGTGTCACCTATGTCCCTGGGTTCATTGAACTCAGGGCTGGCCTGGAAAGATTGTGCTGGGTGGATGTAGGTGGGAGACCTGGGTATAGACATAGAGGATTTGACTTCTTAAAATGCTTACTGTTTACTAGGTGCCATGGTAGAAATGCCCCAAGTATCTGATTTAACTTGATCATCACAGCAGCCGTAGAATATTGGCAGATACCTTAAAAACTTATTTGTATTCCTTTGAAATGTTTTCTAAAAGGTCATCGTAAAATAGAAATTCTCTCTAAGAGATTATTATAAAATAAAGTAGCTTTCTAGAATTTGTGGTACATCAAAACCCTTTATCAGATATTTCTGTGAGGAACATTTGTCTTGACTAAAATATTAAAAATAAAATATTGTGGTCTTTGAAAATGGAGAATTCTCAGCAAGCTCACCATAGGAAAACTTGTAAAGTAAGCAGATCTTAATTTTACCTTTTGATTATGGAGAATCAAAATTTTCTTTGAATAAGATTAGTGCACTCTTCAAGGCAATCAAGGAAAATATATGGCAGTTAAAATGTGTATTTACATTTAAAACACTTCAGAATTTCAGATTTCATAATCTGGAATTGATTAGTTTTCTCTTTGCTTTGCTAGTAGGTGCAAATGGTGGTACCTAAAAGCTATTTAAGTAATGCTGCCATCCAGCTACTCTTTCTTTTTTTCCCTCTTCACTCTGATTACTTTCTTAATTAATGAGGCTCAAAAGGGAAACTTGTTAGCATGTATTTAATTTAACTGTAGTGTTATCCCTAAATGAAATAATTGGACCTTTAAAAAATTCTTAAGTCATCTAACTTTAGCCTTGAGATTCAAGGTTAAAAAAAAAAACAAAAAACAAAAAAGGATGTATTTGCTCAGTCTAATACTAGTTGTACCGATTAAGATGAGAAATGATGATCATTTTCTGAGTCTTCTTACTTCCATCCTCCTTGGCCTCTTAGTATCTTTGTTCATTCTGTCCCCTTGACTGGAATCTTTGTTATTTGAGTCAGAAGCAGGGGATCACAGCATATTTTGTCTCAGCTCAAATGTAGCTTTCCTTTTTTTTTTTTTTTTTTTTTCCTTTGGTGTGTGTGTCCATGGATGATATTTTCAGGGTGAACAGAAAAGATAGAAAGCCCAGGGATGTGGCCTAACCAATGCTAACATTTCATAATGCCAACCAGAGATGAATTGTGAAAGTCACTTTATTTTGTTCTGTACCTCAAGGAATAATTTTTAGAGAGCATTATATAATTATATATGATTTTTGGCATTTCTGGTAAAGTATGTAATTGGAAAAGGCCAATCATTGTTGCTTTTAGAAAAACAGAATTTTTATCGTGTAGTATAGCTAGTAAAAGATAAGAAAGGAATGGAAAGAGAGATGTTCAGAAGGCTTAGGAAAGACTATAAAGGTTATTGGAGTGGACAAGCTGCTCCTTGAAGTCACTTTATTTACATGGGCTACTGAGGTCCTGGGTCCCAATATTAATATTTGCCTATCCCCATGACTCCAAAGATTTGAATGCATTTTATAGTTTCTGAAGAATTCAGAATTAAATTTGACTGCTTACACATTATTCATTCCACTTGTGTCTCCACATCTTGGCGTACAAGGAGAGGAGAGGCATTGACTGCTGGATGATTTTAATCACTGTTCTGTCTGGGAACTAGGCAGAGGAGGGTCAAGAATTCAAATTAATAAAAATATGGAATGTTTAGCGAATTGGTATATCTCCATTTTTTTATTGCATTGACTCTTTGTACTAAGAACTATGGCTATTTCTCTGATGACAAAAATGGATGTTCCATCCCAGGCACTTAAAAGCATTTGAAATGGATAGTGAGAATGAAGGAACTGAATCAAGCCTTAAAGTAGAACCTTAAAATTTACTCACATATCTTTTTTTTTTTTTTTTTGGTCAATAAATATGTGTTTCTTCCCCCTTTACAGTAGATGGTGCTTTAGGTTTCTGTGACATTCATGTCCAGATCACTGGGGTTTATTGGTCTAATATCCTGAGAGTTGGAAAAGGAAGAGGAACTAATACCTAGAGACATAGTCATGTCCCAGTCCCGGGGCTGAATCTTTTCAGTTATCTTGTTTAATCTTTACCACTTTACCACATCTCAGCTAAGATCTTTTCTCCTTATCTTCTGATTATAAAACAATTTTTATTTCCCATAGTGTCATCTTGTCTCACCTTCCTACAGATAGAGCAAGATATTTTTTAAGCATATGGACTTTTTTTTTTTTAAATCCTTTTGCCCTTTATTTTACTATTTATATATTTGTACGTGTGTGTATATATTTAGAGAGAGATATGCACGTATGTATAAATATATGTATACATACCAAACACACACACACACACACTACCCTCCTCATTTAGATCTTACTTTGTTTCTTAATCTCCCTCTGACCATTTTTAACATTGTTGTGGCCTTCTACAATATATTAGAAAGTACAGCCTTTTCCTATGAAATCCATATTTTTTTCTGCATTCTCTTGTATCATTGTCTCATACTTGATTTTGCTGTTGAATATGGTTTTCTTGTTTCTTTTTTTCTGTTTTTGAGATACATGTTAATTTTCCATATTTTAACTTCATCTGAAAATATATATGAGCATTTTTTACTTTTATTTTTTGGTACTGGGGATTGAACCAAGAGGCACTAAACTGAACTATATCCCCAACCGTTTTAATTTTTTTTTTTTTTTTTAAGACCATGCCCACAAACTTGTAATCCTTCTACCTGTGTTTCCAGAGGTGCAGGGATTATAGGCATCTGCCACTAGGCTTGCATTTTTCCTTATTACTTTTTTTCCCTTTCCTTTCTTCTGTTTTTCCATTTGACTGCCACTATTCCAGTCCACAAGTGTATATTGCATGTTCACTAGGCCTTGGGTTAGGGACTGGGAGAATGGGAATGAGCAAGGGAATCATGCTTCTTCTGTCAAGTTCTCTGTTGAAGTACAAGATTGGGGTAGAACATGGAACAAAAAATACTGATTGTTATTTTAGAAGAGACTGCCATACTTTACTATCTTTGGCTTCTGTTGAGACTTAACAAGGTTATAAAAGAACATTGTTTATATATATCTCTCTCTGAAATTTAATCACAATATTCGTGTATTGAACATTTGGTATCATCAAAATAGTGCTAATGACCTGTGTATTTTTTACCAGATTGGAAGCATCTGTTGGTTAATTTTAACAGGCAGTTGGAAAATGGATTGAAGTGTACTAACAGGTTATTGGTATTGGATTTGTCAACTAAAATTAATATTAATTACTTTCATTATTCACAAACTGTTAACTTAATAGGGATTAAAGGGCTTTCTGGAAGTATATGAATAGTCTAATTCAGTTAGACTGATTTAGTATGAAAATCTGGTTCCACAATTGTTAGCTTTTTGAAGTAATCACATTTTATAACAGGTGCATCATATTTGCAGATAAGGCCAATAAACTGGTTTATAAATAATTTCTTACCTGAATAGTTATGGCATATGGAAACAGTTAATGGATTACGCACTTAAAAACAAATCAAGCTTAAGATTTCTAACATCATAGTTCAATGGACAAAGCATTGGGGTAGCAAGTCATAAGCCACAGATTATCCCAATGACTTGGCTGTGTTCAAGATGTCATTTTGTATTTGAAACACAATTTATTCCTTTTATACACATAAGTGTATAAAAAGTCCTAAGTCACCTTCCCAGGCCTAAAATAAGACAAGCGGTACAGTTTATAACTGAGAATGCATGGTAATAAAGGAATAATGCCAAATTGAATGCCACATATCTTTGTATCTTGCACATCCTGAAGTTTTCTGAAAAGAACATTTGAGGAATAATAATTTGGAAAGATTGAAGAAAAAGAAAATGGCCAATTAAGTATTCTCTAGGAATGCATCACTTGGTTCTTGTCTGGGCTAAGTCTCAAAAGAACTGAAAACATAAGTAAATTATGAGATGCGTTGAGGGTGGCTTGTTCCACCATTAGAATGTATTCCATTGATAACCAGATACAGTGTATTCTGTGTTGCATTCCTGAAGAATTAGAAATTTATTCTTAAATCCTCATAGAATTAGTGCCTAACCTGAAGCCACAGTATACTTTCTTTTTTTTTTAATTTTTTATTGTTGGTTGTTCAAAACATTACAT